TATGGTGTCGGCTCTCACCCCCTAATACCTGTGTTAAATGATTAGAATTTAGAGATTGAGGGAAAAGAGATCCCTTCCTCATATTGTATTGATTCTATGTCCAGTATCCAGTATTTGCGCAAAATTGAAAATGAAATTTAAGAGTGACGTCAAAGAAGGAAATATTTCTTCCCGGGGAGACAATATTCGATTCTAGGGTTTCCACATAAATAATACATCAATGACAAGTGTGTCTATATTACAAGGTTGGCCAAGGTTAACCTGCTAGGTGATAAAGTACCGTGGGTTCGAGTCTCTCCACCTCTAGGGTTTCCACATAAATGATACATCAATGACTTGTGTGTCTATATTACAAGGTTGGCCAAGGTTAACCTGCTAGGTGATAAAGTACCGTGGGTTCGAGTCTCTCCACCTCTAGGGTTTCCACATAAATAATACATCAATGACTTGTGTGTCTATATTACAAAGTCGGCCAAGGTTAACCTGCTAGGTGATAAAGTACAGTGGGTTCGAGTCTCTCCACCTCTAGGGTTTCCACATAAATAATACATCAAGGACAAGTGTGTTTATATTACAAGGTCGGCCAAGGTTAACCTGCTAGGTGATAAAGTACCGTGGGTTCGAGTCTCTCCACCTCTAGGGTTTCCACATAAATAATACATCAAGGACAAGTGTGTTTATATTACAAGGTCGGCCAAGGTTAACCTGCTAGGTGATAAAGTACCGTGGGTTCGAGTCTCTCCACCTCTAGGGTTTCCACATAAATAATACATCAATGACTTGTGTGTCTATATTACAAAGTCGGCCAAGGTTAACCTGCTAGGTGATAAAGTACAGTGGGTTCGAGTCTCTCCACCTCTAGGGTTTCCACATAAATAATACATCAAGGACAAGTGTGTTTATATTACAAGGTCGGCCAAGGTTAACCTGCTAGGTGATAAAGTACCGTGGGTTCGAGTCTCTCCACCTCTAGGGTTTCCACATAAATAATACATCAAGGACAAGTGTGTTTATATTACAAGGTCGGCCAAGGTTAACCTGCTAGGTGATAAAGTACCGTGGGTTCGAGTCTCTCCACCTCTAGGGTTTCCACATAAATAATACATCAATGACAAGTGTGTCTATATTACAAGGTCGGCCAAGGTTAACCTGCTAGGTGATAAAGTACCGTGGGTTCGAGTCTCTCCACCTCTAGGGTTTCCACATAAATGATACATCAATGACTTGTGTGTCTATATTACAAGGTTGGCCAAGGTTAACCTGCTAGGTGATAAAGTACAGTGGGTTCGAGTCTCTCCACCTCTAGGGTTTCCACATAAATAATACATCAATAACTTGTGTGTCTATATTACAAGATCGACCTAGGTTAACCTGCTAGGTGATAAAGTGCCGTGGGTTCGAGTCCTGAGATTTGCACTTCAAATCAAGAAAACATTTGTCAGGTTTTTTTTGGTGCTAGTTATGGTTTATGCAATGCTCCCTCCCGAAAAAAACACCCCCTACAAAGAAAGACGTAATCCGATGTTTTCAATGCATGATGAAATTTTATTGACGTCTCAGTTTATTTTTTAATCCATTCAACTATTAATTACGGTGGCTCACATACGACATTTTTCACTTTTTATTTTGAATTAAAAACTTTGATTTTTACTCGGTGAATAAATTGATTTTGAATTTAAAACTTTAATTTTCACCTAGAATTTGGAATCAAAAACTTTTTTTCGCCGTTCTTACAAAATTCGTTAAATTATCACCTTGGTGGAAATCATTATCACAGGTGAAAATTAAACTTTAATTAAAAATTACACGAATTATCACCTAATTTTCAACTAGGTGAAAATGATTATCACCTATGTGAAAATTAAAGTTTTTAATTCAAAATAAAAAGTGAAAAATGTCGTACGTGAGCCACCGTAATTATACTATATGTGACTCATGTAGAAACTGAGGTTTTGAAATACAATATTAAACGATGAAAGTGATAAAACTTTGTAAAGATTTGTTCTATTTTCATAGATTTTTTTTTTAATATTTCTGACGTCTGAGGATTTATTTTTTTCTGTCTTTATGAAAATTCTATGATGCGTTTATACGTATGTTCTCTTTCTTTAACTTTATTTTAAGAGTTACATTCGTGTCAATTATATTTTTCCAAGATCATAAAGGAATTTAAAATATTCAGACATTTATATTATCGAATATCACCGTTTTTATACCTTTATAAGGGAAAGCTTTCATTTAAATGATATTTTGCTGCTGATATACGCCTATCTTAATTTCACTTCTCCGTATTACTTTTCAGAACGGAAATCCGAGTGTGGTATATATGTAATTTCACAAAAACACAAGTGCGGAAGTGACAGGAGTTAGATTATACTGTCCCTAGGGCCACAATACATTTCTTATGCACAGTCAAGTTTTTACTCAAAGTCATAATGCCCTTTTTGCATCAAGAAAAGATTACTGTAATGATGCTAGAAACATTGTGCTCTATAAGGAGTAAACTTTTAGATATATATTTCTTTGATAGTCTAGTATCAGTTCTTCTCCTTCTGCGTCATTTTGGGGGGTTGAGTTTAGGCTCAAATTTCGACGGTGATCTGTGAACACTATTACTGATTAGTTAAGCTAAAAAATACCCGTTACTAAGACTAAAGTCAAAAGAAATGGCCTAACTGTCCCTTTAAGGTGGTCCCGGGGCCAGATCGTTTTTAAAAACTGAAGTGGAACTCTCAGTAGTCAAATAGAATATTTAAACGGCTATTTCCCTTTAAACTCAGTTATTGTATATTCGATAATATTTTTGGTTGTCAAACAATTAAACACCTTAATTAGTACCCTATTCCCTTTCATTCTCTACGTAATAGGAGAGGGGCGAGGTCATTTACTGTCAGATTTGGCCTAAAATCATTCAACCTTGAGTTCCCAGCCCCTTAATTTTACCTCTCTGACGTCAATCAACTTTTGTTATGAATTCTTACGTTATAGACCTATATATATATATATATTCTTACATAGTAATACATTGTGTAGATTATCTGATCTTAATTTCCTTAATAGGGTCGGGGCGACACACGGGATGTTATTCTTCATACAATCCGGATAATCCTACCTTGTTGCGATGGGGGTGGGGGAGGGCACAAATAACTGGCCGTGCAACCACAAAGTTTCCTAGACCATACTACCGGAATTACTATCGCTATTGTTTGGAGAGTTTTTACTAAGGTAATACTGGTATTAGAGTAGGTCCATGTATC